AATGCATGATTCTTCAATAACTAACATGAGAAAAATAATTGTGGTAAAGGACAAAGTTTGAACAAGATTTTTATTTAATATTTAAATATAAGCATTTTAGAAAATACATGTAGAGATCAATTGAGGATTATGGAAATAAAACGAAACCAGTCCAACCTGTTTGATGCTGAAGCTGGACACAGACATGATCATGGTGGGGTTATTGCAGATCTCATCTGGCCGAACCCAGCGGGAGAAGATGGCTTTCTGTTTGGGTGACAAAGCCAGTTTCCCTGATTTGTCCCTGGTGAGAAGAAAAAAATAAAATAAAAATAAAAACTGTGTTTAGCCAATTCAGTCACACATTTTATTTTTCTATGTCACCAATTTTCAACTACAGTACGTTTCTGTCAGTAATTCCCACATGCATTGGACCAAAGCTTCATATATGTAATGTTTTCTACTAAAACCCACATTTGTTATACGAATTTAACCTGGAAAAACTTCTTACAACCACATCTCAAAGCAAAAGTGTTTTAGTGTTGAGTGTTTCAGGTATCCTTCCCTTCAATGTGTCAAGAAACAGATACTGCAGTTTCTACAAATCTTAAGACTGTCTCCAAAATACATACATCTGCACATGACTTTTCTCTCCTGAATGTCTAAGTGAGGCTTGTATTAGCTTTGAAATAATGTTACTATTATAAAAACTGACTGCAAACAATAAAGCAAACTCACGATAAAGGTACAGGAAAGGCAAATCGCTCTTTAAGGTCCACGCTCATGAAGGGCACGTAGGCTATGCCATTGATTGTAGATGTACTCCTGAAAATAAAGCACAAGTTTAATGAAATAGAAAAGCTTTGACACATAATTTTGCAGTAGTATTTTACATATTTTACATAAAACATTAATACATTAAATATTACATATTTACATATTTAAAAGGATAAAACCATTAGGGCATTAAAAGGCCCTATATAAGTTTTCCAGGCATCTTTTGCATCCAAAGATTTTCAAAATAATCTCATCAAAGGCTGAGGCAGTAATTTCATTTGCCACCTGGTGCAGTGATTTAGCACAAAACTACATTCGAAATAAATGTAAATGTTATACTTTCTAAAAGTTTTCAGCAAATAGAAGGGTATACTAAAGGGATACCCAGAAACATTGGCCTTTATGACATATTCAGTGAGCCTTCTCACCTGAGTACCTCGATCTCCTCAGATGTGTAGCGCTGACCTTGGGGCTCACTGGACTGCACAGCCCGGACAGTTTGGGATTGCTGTCGGTCATTGAGGCTGAAGTCTGGCCCAAGAGGGAGGAACTGGCGGACAGGTCCTCCTGAACTGGCACCAGTGCTGGGCTTGGTTCCAGGAGCCCCTGTCCTGTCCTGAGCTGAAGCCGATTTGGACTGGGATTCTTTAAGACCTTCGGCTCTGGCAAAATATAGTGGAAGAAGTTTGTTTTGTTTTTTTTATGCATTTTGTTAACATGCAAAAAGTGAAAACAACAACAACAACATTAAAACAAAAAGCTCTAGAGCATTAAAACAAATGATGAACATTCTAGTTTACAACACAAAACCAGGACCATTTTATATGTACCTGTCTAAAGCTTGACGTGCCAGCTGTTTCAGTTTGTTCTGCAGCACTTGCTCAGATGTTTCACTGGACTGGTGAAAACAAAACAAACAAAAGAAATCAGGAAGAGGAATTAATGTGAGCATGAGTAGGGATAATATGAGGGAAGTCTTAAGTGTCAGTCAGTGAGTGATAAATGAAAAACAGAAAGGGGCCTAGTGAGAGACTAACCGTTTTAATGCACAGCTCCACAGCCTGAGTGTACAGTTCAATAGCTTCATCATCATTTCCCTTTTCATCTTCTTCAAAGGCTTGGGTAACCAGGAAGTGGGCACGTTCCAGGTCCACCTGGTGCCGGGACTTCAGTGGGTCACTTTTCTGTGCTTGAACTAATGTCAAAGGTCAAAGGAAGGAATGGTTAAGACGACAGGTAATTTGACCTAATTCATTTTCCCATGGAGTCTTAATTACATTGTTGTCATAGAGGATTTTTAATGGACACCGAGTTATCCAAACCTGTTTTTAGCACATTATACTTGAGTAAATGAAAACTCAAGATGAAAGTTGGAAATATGAATATCTTCATTACAAAACAGATTAAGACCAGACACTAGATAAGGAGATTAATGCTCCCTAGTCTCTCCTATCTGACCCAAAGACTCATCTTAAGTACTGTCTGCCCATATTTGTCTCGCATTGTATTCAGTAAGTAAAACAGAATTTAACCTTCCAACAACTTTTCTTGAGCCACCTTTAATCTCTTGAACAGTGCTGAAATAGTGCTTAAACTATCAGTTTAGTAAGTTTACTGGTGCAGCTTAATACAACACCATACACATAAACTCCACCTTTAAAAATGTCATAAAGCAATTATTATTCTTTGTTAACGCTGGCTCAGACAGGTGCTAAGTTAACTTAGTTGTGATTTTTTTGGTAGCTTTCTGGATAAATGATAGAAAGATGATAGAAAAAAAGAGCAATCAATTTCTACATTTTATTTCATAGAAATCACTAAACAGCAATACCCAGCATTACACATCATCTAGTGGTAACAAGACTCTTGTACATTCTGTGGCCACACCCATGTGAACACACAAATCAAGAGCATGAGGAGAGTCGTGGAAAAAACTGGTCAGACAAAAACTGAGAAACTATGTCCTTTTCAGTAAAAAAAGAGAAACATTTTCTTACCCATTAAACACATACACCTCTTTAAAGGTGTTGCTCAAGATAAATCAACAACTCAGTAAAACAGGATAATGCGTGTCTTTTAGACAACAAGTTTAATGAACAACATGTCCATACATTAATTAAAATGGGAGTATATTCAGTTCCAGGTCTGTATTTTCATTCTATATTACTAGAGTAGCTTTTATGTGATTTATATTTCACATTAAGCCTTCATTTGTAAGTCATCTGAAAAGCCATCGGAAGCAAAACCCTTTGTGCCTATTGTGAGGTGAGCTTACCTGCATTGTGGAGGGCTTGAACCCGATCCAAGTATTCATTCACTTTCTCCTGGATCCCTTCCAGTTTGGACCCTGCCATGCCAGCATAAATGAGGGCCTGAGCTGCCTCCTATGGAAAACAAACATAAAAGAGGCAGCGGTTAGAAAAGTATCACATCCGGTCACTAAGTACTGGCATCCAGGGACACTAGCAACCCTCAACTTTGACCAAATATATCTGTAAACTGTTGATTCGTAAAGTAGTAGACTTCTTAAATCTAATCCTGCGGCTATTACAGAAATGAAAGTGAGTTTGAACTTCTAAGATTAGCAAAATGCTAACCCTGAAAAATGGCATACGTTTACAGGTAAAACTTATTGGCACTTACCTTATAATAAAATACAGCCTCGTTATATTTGCCATTCTGGTCACATGTTACAGCTGTTTTGGCAAAAGTGACAGCATCAAGTTCCAGCGCCGCGGAGTCCATGTCGAACAAAAGTTGTTGACAAAGTGACAATCTCTCAGTTAGCCAGAACAGGCTAGCTAACCGTTAGCTACCTATAAAATGTCTACAAACAAAATATCTGCTTTTCTCTGTTGGCACTGTTCATTCTATCAACTCGTAAAAAACATAGTGAAGATAATGCTGATACGTGGTGTTGATCCCACAGCTAAAACTGCCACGGTAAAAGTTTTCCTCTGCCTTTTATCAAATGACTACAACATTAGCAGACACCAAAACAACCATACTGTTTCCGGGAGACAATTCGCGCAGTCGCAGTAGAAACGCTAGCGCTGTTGAAGAGCGCAGATATCGGGGGTACGACGTTGCGTTCACGAGCAGGGAAAAACAACATGTTTTAATACAGCTAACGTTATTTATTGGCAATTGGTAAAATATTGTAGTATAAGTCTAGTCTTTCTTTTTTCTTTATGAACCATACCATGAAAATATGGGAAAGAGGATGATGCAGAAGTATACAAAGGGTCAGAATGAGTTAAGTTGTGTCTGACCAGGTGAACTGACCAGGCTTACATGGTTATGAGAGGGATAGTGGATACATTGGACACAGGATTTTGATTATGGAGCTGCCAATCAAGAGAAAAAGGGGAAGAGCAAGCCAGATTCACATTTGTTTACTAAAATGGTAGAGTATGATCTTACCTGTTGGAAAACTTTACCCGTCTCAAAAATATTTTTTTCGTGTTGATCCCTAATAAACCCTCTATTTCTTGGTTTAAGTCACTACACTCAAACATCTCAAAATTTTTATGGAAAAAAATCGATTGCAGTATGTTTTAAAAATAGGTCAAAACAAAGATTTTTAGAGAGCTCATTGTTAGGGCTAGAACAAGCACTCAGTTAAAGAGTAGAAATCTGCTTTAAAACTGTTTTAAATCTTCACTTATCCTCTGTAAACTAACACCCATTTGGAGTCTTGATATATCAGAAAAAGAAAATACAACATTTTCCCTCGTGGCACGAGAAACGAATTACAAATGTAAAAAATCTAGAACATGTTATTCAATACAGAAACTTTACTTAATTCCAATAACTTGTATCAAATTATGAAATCAGCAACAGTAAATTTCTTGAATATCAGTAAATGAATGGTAAATGGTAAATGGCCTGTATTTGTATACTACTAGTCTTTACTACTTTACTGGTCCCTAAGGACCCCAAAGCACTTTACACATCCAGTCATCCACCCATTCACACACACAGTCACACACTGGTGATGGCAAGCTACATTGTAGCCACAGTCACCCTGGGGCACACTGACAGAGGCGCCTGTGATACAGGCAAGATTTAATACCAATCAACTGAACTGAAGTTATTTTTAAAATAGATGACTCAATTTCCTTCCCAACTGACAAATGGGAGCAAGATCAATCCCTCAAGATAAAAACTTCTCAACACAAATGTGTTTAAATTCCTTAATCTGAGAACTATATGCAAGCTCTAAGGTTTTGTACGCCTGTTCAGAGTTTCTGGCAGAGTATATATGAATACCTATGCACATGGTTTAGTTGCTGTATTCCAACCTTACCTCACTATGAGTCTTAGGTCAGGTAAGTGAATTATCTATGGATGTGCATACAGCAAACATAGTTCTGAATGCCTTATATACCTCTTGAAGAAAACTATCCTTGGGAACTGGAAATCGAAAAATTATTTGTGCATTACTCAATATAAAAATTTAATCTAGAGAGAATGTCTGCCTCCTCAAAATAGCAAATGGGGAAATTTGAATTTTGATTTTCTCTGCTTGCCGCAGATCAGATATATTCTGTACTCACCAAGAGCTTTTTCTGATTTGTGTTGCATAAAATACCAATAGCTCCATGAAGCCATGGAACCATTTGAGGTGACTCATAGTTTTCAATACATATAAAAATACTCAGAATAAAATTATTTTGCCTCCCAATAAACAATCTTCTTTATGATTTTAGTATATCCAAAACTAAAACAGGATATACATTTTCAATAAGAAAATATTTTAAACTGTTAATTCTCAGTGCTTCTGATTTTAACCTTTCACATAAATACAACTATCTTAATGTACATCATACACATAAAGGTATGAGGTACCTGCCCACCTGCAAACTTTAGCTTCACCAATCAGAAGAAACAAAGAGGCATAAAACAGCTCATCAGACACTCTTTAATCTGAGCTTAGGATAAATAAGGATTATTTCCAACTATCAGTCATGCAAAGCTACGCTATTATAGTCCAGCAGTCAGAGTATAGAGATGGAAATTAGTTGAATTACACAGCAGATCATGTGAGGAACATCAGCCAATAACGTTCAGACTAAACCGACCCACAGTCTTCCTTCTCACAGTAACCGGCTGTCTCCTCCTCTCTGTGGAAAATCTTCCCATCAGGCTGCGTCTTCCACCTTCTCTGATCCCTTGCTCCAGCACCTTCTCCCTCACCTGAAACACAGTTTTCACACATTAACAGAAGCTCCTCATTAATCAGCCGTTGTTTCCGTAGTGAGCAGAAAATGTTGTTCGTGCTGTTTCTGGCGGAAATGTACCAAGTGAACTGGCTGGTGATGAAACTGAAGTTTGTTATTAGGCCTCATTGCCTGTCATTGGGTCACTTTGTCTCCTCACAGTAATCTGAAATTAAATGACTTCTTCAAGTTAAGAATGAAAAAAAGATAAATAACAAAAATCGATGGGATTCCATTAAATGAGCCCCGTATGTCTGCAGCTGTGTGCTGTCACGTTTCCCTGAACCTGGACTGCACAGACTCACTGCTCTCTATCATTTCACAGTAGTCATAGCAGTCTGTTCCTTGTATCGGGGCCTGTGTGTCCTCTGACCTGCTGCAGGATGGATTCTTGCACTGTGGGGTCGTTCAGGTCTGCAGATCCTGCCCTCAGCTGAACCTTCACTGACCTCAAGGCTCGAGAAGATTTGACATCTGCAGAGAAAGAAAAGGCAGAATTTCAATTCAATTTTATATATACAGCGCCAAATCGTTGTCAAATTAAGATAGATTTTGTGTTGTTGGTTCTGAAGATCTGGATGGATATTTTAATGTATTCTTTATTTCTATTTTTCCAAGACTTGGATATTTGCCTTTTTTTATATAACTTGGCCTACCCTTTTTAGTTTTGTTAATATTGGCAATAGTGAGAAGTACTATGGTTGGATTCAAATGTATTTAATATAGGGCATCTAATTAAGGTAAATGTCATGTTTTTAGTTGTTAGAATCTGATGAGCAATATTTTATTTTATTATTTGTTATTTTGTTTTTCAGTTTTCCCCCTGAGTGATTGCCACCTTAATGTGGTCAGGGGGGTTGCGTGACTCAGTGACACTAAGAGCTAAACCTGCAGAAGCTAAGCCTTCAGGGGGGACACCCAAGTTAGTCAGGTTTTAGGGTAGAGGTCTGACAAAGTGCAATCCAATTACAAGACAAAAACAGTTATTCAGAGCACCCCACACAACCCTTACCCCTTTCTTTCCTCCGTTGCCACCATGTGCCCCCTTTACATTTCTGTCTGGAGGAGG